ACACACACACACACACACACACACACACACACACACACACACACACACACACACATACACACACACACACACACACACACACACATCTACCTACCTACTTGCTTATCACACGCGCACGTTTACACATCGTCACGAAATGAGCACATATATAATAAAATAATATACGCAATGCATATTATTAGTATTATAAGCGAACAATGTAATATTACGGGGGGGGGGTGTACGAAAAGTGTAAGGGGGGGGGGGGGGAAAAAGTCCAAAAAAGGTGTAAGATTATATTTGAACAGCTCCTTCCATGACTTCTTGAGCACACAAACACACACACACACATACTCACGCACACATTACTCGCACACATGTGAACACTCATGTACGCCAAACACACACACACACACACACACACACACACACACACACACACACACACACACACACACACACACATACACACACACACACATACACACACACACACACACACACACACGCACACATCTACTTGCTTATCACACGCGCACGTTTACACATCGTCACGAAATGAGCACATATATAATAAAATAATATACGCAATGCATGTTATTAGTATTATAAGCGAACAATGTAATATTACGGGGGGGGGGGGGGGGCAAATGTACGAAAAGTGTAAGAGGAGGGGGTGGGGAGTCCATGACTTCTTGAGCAAAAGCACTGACCTTTTGAACCAGTGGGCAACGGGGTCTAGTCTGCATACTGCAAAGGCCTGCATGTTTATAGCCTAGTATTGTAGCCTTTTTTAGCCTTGTTCAGGGGAGGGAAGAAACCCACTGTTTAAATGTTTTCTTATTGTCAGCACAGGATCGCAGCCAACTATATCTTGTAGCTTTTGTTTATTTGAAATGTTTGATTTGTAATCACCCTTCTTTCTCAGGCGAAAAACCTGTGCCAAACCCTGGCGTATTGAGGCTATTTTTATTTATTCGTTCGTTTTTGCTCTTGCTTGTTTATTGTTTTGTTTTTGCTTTTGTTGTTGTTGGTGTTGTTGTTGGTGTTGTTGTTGTTGTTGTTTTTTGGGGGGAGTGGATTCTTGTGTTTGGGGTTAGACTATTAGATTGCTTTTATCAATATACAGAAGGGAAACAATAAATCCTGGATTGTTGGTCCCTATATTAACATGTTGAATTATGTCCCTGTAATTGTACTTTTATTTATCTACCCTCACAACAAAGATTGTCTGATCTTAGTGATCTTTACTCACTCCTCCTTCCTGTTTCAATCACATGTACTCATGCTCATTATGATTTATTTTAGTCTTGTCAGTGAAGCCAGAGAGGGCAGACCTCATATTATTTTCATTATTAAATTACCCTTCTTCATTTAGAAACGGAGTTCTTACTTTTGCTTTATTATATACAATAATGGCAAACAACCCCAGTGCAACATTCTTTGGGTTTTTGTTGTTGTTGTTGTTGTTGTTGGGTTGTTGTTGTTGTTGGGTTGTTGTTGTTGGATTTTTTCGACAAAACAGTTTTAGTGAGCAAGCGAGGGGTAGTCGTTGGTTCTTCATCAACAGTATGTAACTCAGTCTACCGTCCGTTGGGTCTCTGAAACCTTCAGAAGGACACGCAGTGAGGTCATGAATTTTGACTTGACTGATTTTCACCGCATATATTTCATGATGCAGTATAGATGTTTTAGGAGACAGGCTGTTTTTACCCTGCAGAGACAAGCTGGGTTGTGCGGGACACGGAACGCCTGCAAAAAGATGGAGATCCTCGACAAAAAAAATCGGAACTCATAATATAATTATTTTATTTTGTGAGCAACAGACAAGAACTTCGCCAATGCACCAGACGGCAGTGTCTACTGACTGGGAAGCTGTGATGTGTTCCGAAGTCTTCAGCAATACGTGCAGCTTTTATTATATGTAACAAGTGCCTATAGATCTATGTGATGTTGCATGGTTCTGCAATATCGAATAGCCATCGGCATTTTAAACGTTCTAATTAACTTATCAAAACCCGCTTAAATTGCGAAACATTCTGCGTCTCTCTCTCTCTCTCTCTCTCTCTCTCTCTCTCTCTCTCTCTCTCTCTCTCTCTATATATCTATATATATATCTATATATATATATATATATATATATATATATATATATATATATATATATATATATATATATATATATATATATATATATATATATATATATATATATATATATATATGTATGATATATATATATATATGATATATATCTATATCTATATATCTCTATATGTATGATATACGTAGAGATAA